CTAACCGCATCTCTCTTTCTTCCTTTTCGTTTAACTTCAATGCTTTAACAGATGCATGTTGCCTCTCTCTTTTTAGATTCCGCAAGCAAGATGTAATCCGAATGGTGACGGCAATTGCATGGGAAAGGGACATTACTACCAGGAATCGCTACGTATGCTCCCCGATTCTCGTAACATGTGTCTTACTTCGACGTCTGACCACACCTGCACGCTGGCGCGACATGGAGATGCTGTTCGGGAAGCATGGAGGGCAACTGTCAGAGATATTTTGGGAGGGAATGGAAAGTTTCTTGGAAGCTCGTCAACATTTAATACTCTCAGACATAGATTCTAACTTCTTTAGTGAAAGGGCCGAGCTATACGCATGTGCCATCAAAAATAAATGTGAAGCATTGGACAACTGCACAGGCTTCATTGATGGTACAGTTATTGCGATTGCTCGGCCGAGTAGAGGGGAGGTGCAGAACGTAGCGTACAATGGTCACAAGCGCAAGCATGCATTAAAATACCAAGCCATCACATCACCGGATGGCTTGGTTCTACATGCTGCTGGACCAATTGAGGGAAGGAGGCATGACTGGACGCTCTACTGCCGGAGTGGAGTGAATGAGTCCTTACCGCAAGTTATGTTCGTAGGAGGGAAGCAGTACTGCATGTATGGGGACTCCGGATACAACCCGCGCCCATTTCTAGAAGTACCGTATCAAGGCTCCAACCTAAGCGCGCACCAACGCGCATTCAACAGTGCTATGTCTAAGGGAAGAGTGACGGTGGAGTGGTATTTCAAGGAAGTGAAGCTGTACTGGTCGACTATGGACTACAAGAGAAAGATGAAGACGGGAGAGTCGCCTGTTGGAGCTCTATATATCGCCGCTATGCTGCTTACAAACCTCAGAAATTGCGTGTATCCGAACTCCATCTCCCAATACTTCCTCTGCGCACCTCCCACGCTGAAAGACTACCTTGACCACAAACAACAATAAAGTGTCTACTCTTCCAAGTCCTCAACATGTCCTCACTCCCCGTTCGCCTGCGTGAAGCGGAGTGAGGACAAAGTCCGCGTGCCGCAGGCCGCGAAGCGAGCGGACTTTGTCCGCAGCCCCGCAGGGAGCCCTGCGCGAGCAGCGCCAGCGCGTTTGGAGGCTCAAAAACGGCACTTTTACTAGTAAAGGAGGCGCAACAGGGCTGAATTTATTGTTTTTGTGACAAGTACTGTAGAGCTACTTATTAGTCTGAATGAAGGCACTCATCATCATCTTGAACTTTTCAAGTTCGAGTTCGTGTTGCGCGATGCGTTCTTCTCTTCTTAGCTCGCGCTCCTTCTCGCGGTCCATTCGTTCCATCTCAACGCGCTCGCGTTCCAGCACTAGACGCTCTTATCTATTGCAAGACGAGCCATGTCGGCATCGCGCAATGCCATGCCAATGTTTTCGAGATCCGCCTGGAACGCGCCTCCGGCGCGTTCTATTGGCTGTCGGCGCTTCTTTCGAGAGCTCAGTTGGCCTTCTTCTTCTCCGTTAGCCTCTCGGTCTTCTTTTTCGGTTCCTTCCTCGCTGTCGGAGCGCTTACGCGTCAGCGAACGAGCCACGAGGTCCTTTCCAATTCTTACTTTCCTGGCCTCTCTCTCTTCTTGAGCAGCCGCCACCGCCTTCTTCTCCTTTTCCATGTCGTTTCGCGCTTCTGCCATCATCCCCAGCAGCTCGTCGAGCTCGGAGCTCGACGAGCTGCTGGGGATGATGCGGAGAGTCTCCGATTTCCCCGCCAACCCCCGACAGTCTTCTATCCGCAGCGTCCCGTCGCTCAAAGGCGTCTTGGATTTTCTTGTAGCGGTCCTGGACCCTCTTGGCAGTGACCGTCTGGGACAGTTTCCTGTTCATGTTTGCCCGCGTCGCCGCCTCGCCGAATCTCTTCTGGATTTCCCCATACCCGGCAACGTGTGCCTTAGCGGCACTTACTTCACGTGCGAGTATGAGGTCATCCTCCGGCGTAAACGTTGGTCGCCGGCCTCCTTTTTGTTGTGGGGGGAGGGATCAAGCGCGCAATTGACATCGCTGCGCTCCGGGGTGGGGGTGTTGGGGATGGTGAGGTCGAGGGTAGGGGAGAGAGGTGGTGAAGAGGGGATAACGTTCGCCATGATGTGAGTAAAGGTGGTTACAACGTCACTCTAGAACTCAGGTCTACATAAAAGGTGATGAAGGTACCCGCCAAATTTATACCACGTCTCACACGTGTGTTCGAAACGGTTACAGAAACGATTTCACTATGCACTCACATTTCACGAATTTTTGTCACATCCGTTTGTGAAATCTGACTAACTGTAATGTTTTTTAGTCATATGTTAGTCATATGTTGCAGAAATGCGCTTGCGTAAACCCTCTACTGTTAACGCACTTCTTGCTTCATTCCATGGCTTTGCATGTGCATGTGTTAAGTTAACACATGCACATGCAAAGCCGTGAAAATGTGCTTACAGCTACAAGTAGCACACGTTGGAGAAAGGAACGATGCAGAACGACGTTAAATTAATGTCGTGATCGCGTGATTGCATGATTGCCAATCACGATGAATGGAATGGCCCTGAGGGCCAGTCCTAACAGGCGCTTTTCTTTTCTTTTTGTTTTCCTTCAACCAGTTGCGGTCACGCTATTGGCCGGATCATTTCATTAAATTAATCGCACGCCACAACGAATGCTACACAGAACCACTGTAATGCTTGGTAATTCTGCGAACTGGTCGAAATCCATTGGCTAAAGGAAGTACCAATCCACACCTAGTCCATATGCACACTACTAAAATTCCATGGACTCGATGCGGTGCAGTGGCACTTGCAGTACAATGAAAGTGGAATTAAATCCAAATACGAGCACATGCAGATCAAAACATTAGTTCTCTCAACATTACAAACCAGACACAGTACCTTCTCCCGCCATTTTATGTGCACAACTCGGCCCTCCCCCGCCTCGACGCCCACGTGAAATTTGCGACAGTCGTTTGCTAGCATTTTACACTCTGTTTAGGAAACGGAGCACCACCGGACGGCAGAAGGGTACCCAGAGTTCAGCACCCAGAGTTCAGCTTTTTGAAATCAAATGCCTCCTTGGCATCGATCATGAAATGGAGAGAAGCCGGGGAGGCTGCTCTCTAGTTCATGATCGATGATGAAGTGGCTTCGCCGAAATCCCTTTCCTGTGAACCACCCCGCCCTCGCTCCCTCCCCCCCGCCACCAACCCCCCTTCTCCCCCAAATATGACCACGTCCCCTCCTCCCCGCCACCCCCCTTCCCCTCAATATCCCCACGTCCCCTCCCCGCCACCCCCCTTCCCCCCCAAAATCCCCACGTCCCCTCCTCCCCGCCACCCCTACCTCGCGCCCCACCACCACGTCCCATCACCATCTTCCTCACCTCCTCAGTACCGTGACCAAGACACATCCTCCGACATGCTATTGTCCCCGCCACCGCGTCATCCTCCTAACATCGACACCGACACAGTCTCTCCCCGCACCCTCCATCCCTTCCATATCTTTCGTTTCATATCTCAATCCAGCCCAGTTTTGGTCATGCACATCGAGGGACCTCATTATAGCAACACGTCGTCCAGCTTTGCTTTTGTCGAGCTACAGGGAGTCAGACTGGGCCATGTGCATGCGCGAGGAGGCGTTGCTGTACCTTCCATGCTGCATGGATCTGCAGACCGTCCAGACTCTGTTCCATTTCCGAGGAGTGGAACTATGGGATGGCATTACAGTAAAAACTACAGCAATGTGCTTCCGATTTTAGTGAAGAACTCAATAAAAACGGGGCGAGGGAAAGGAAAAACGAGAGGAAAGTCCTTTGTTAGGACTGGCCCTGAGTGTCGCTGAGTTCGGAGAAATGTTTGGAGGACTGCTAATTTCGGTTGCGGACCGTCAGGGGCTTGACGCTTTGTCACATCTTTGGTCGGCAAAGCAGGCGTTTCTCACTGCCAACCATCACAGAGAACCGACGCGGAGCAGGCAGTCGTTAATTTGCCGGACACTCGAGTGTATGGAAATCGATATGAGGCAATCATAGATTAATGCTTTCTCCGAATAGTGCCGGTTCTGTGGCTCCCGCACGGGGCGGCCTTAATGGACAGGTGCCCCTGCACTGTACTTCGGAGGCAGTCCCCAGTGACCAAGGAGGAGAAGCTTCTCAACAGATCTGCTGCTGCACAGTACCCTGTACTGTAATGATACTGTAATTTGTTGCAGATGCACGCCTGAAGACCAATCACATGTTTCGTACAAGCTGTACGCGTGTATGAAAAATTTCCAGATTGCAAAATTCGCTCCTTGACTGCAGTGCGCGAAGTGCAAATATTATACAGTACACCCCCCGTCGCCCTCATTTTTGCTCGATGCAGGGCTATACAGTACACCCCCCGTCGCCCTCATTTTTGCTCGATGCAGGGCTGTTCTATTGTCTAGACGACAAGCAATTTGACCTCATATGAGGTCAGTCATGGCCTCATATGAGGCCAGCTTTTTTTTTGCAAAAATATATAAATTAAATCGAAACTTTAAAACACTCAGTTTGGACACCATTTCTTTAACGTATACGCGCTCGGCAATAACATCTTGCAAAACATTGGGATGGCGGTTGTCAATGCACAGAGAGAGTAAGAATCTAATGAACTATCAATGATGAGTTGACTTTTTAAACAGGCGTTTTGGTTTCGAAGATATCAACATAAAACGTTTTGAGGTTGGTCAAAAAAGGCTCCTTTTTGGGCATTTTAAAAATGGCTGGAGAAGACGTGCAGATCTCACCAAACTCCACCCTTCCACAACGCAGAAGTCAACTGCCGTGTCGAGAGTATCTTTTTTCCATCTTGTTGAGCTAGCACAAGTCGAGAAAAATAAGTTGAAAAGTGACCTCATATGAGGTCAAATGGCCTCATATGAGGTCATTTGTCACCTAGACACTATAAAAGCGCGCACGTCACCTGCACAATATTACTGAGGTGCAGTAAGGCAGTTCATGGATCGACCCCTGCTTGTGTTGTTCAGTGCGCACTTGCTCTCCACCTGTTCTCTGTCACTCGCAGTTGTCCCAGTGTAGCCCCATGCGCAAAGAATCCATTCCAGCCTGCGAGGAGTCACTTCTTAGGGGCAGCAGCCATTCTCCCCAGGGTTGGTTAAAGAGGCGTTCATTCTGAAACGCTTAGCTTGCTATCATGGCGTTCGTACCACTAGCCCCAGTCTCAGTTGCTCATCGGCAACCTGGAAAACTTACTACAACACTTTATGGGCGGCCTTGTCGGGCATCTAAAATCGTCCGCAGGCTTGACAGTTATTCTTCTGGCAGACTTACATGTGACCTGCGTGGCAGTCGCTCTTCTCAAAAAGTCGGTTCGTCTCTTACTCCCGAAGATGATGCCTCCACTCCAAATGTCTCTGAATTGCGCTCCGAGCATCTTGTTGCGTACTTTGACGCCGATGAGAGCATGTACCAAGTCCGTCTGGGGAATGTCCTTCGTCTTTCCATACAAAACTTCACTGTAGAAGTGCGGGAGTTGCAACTTGCAATCCGTCGGCTCATGGGAATCAACTCACCACTCCGATACACGCCACCAGAGTGTCTCGGCTTCAAGCTTGAAAACGAAGCGGTGAACCGCCGCGAGGCGAATCGAGAGTCCAGTGGCGGTATGGTAAAAACAAGTTGGCTTGTTCGAAAAGTTTATGATGTCACGTGCACGGCGCTAGATGTATTCTTCGATGGCCGACCTATTCCCCGGTTCTGGTTTCTAGAAACAATTGCACGGATGCCATACTTCTCGTACTCAAGCTGCCTACATTTACTGAGCACACTCGGATGGTACAGGTCACCAACGCTCATGAACATGCATCATGCTGAAGAGCTGAATGAAGCGTATCACTTAGCTGTGATGGAAAGCCTTGGAGGTGACAAGCGATGGCAAGTACGTTTTGGTCCAGATGTGATCGCTGCACAAAAAGATGTCAAAGCATCCCCGTCGTTGAGCTGACATAGCGACTTTTGCGCATCTGCTTTTTATTTTGTGCATACGTGCGTATACGAAGGATCGCTTTCTTGCATTTCACGCAAGCTTGGCGTACTACTGGTACGTGTTGTACAAAGCTATATTCGCAGTGCCGGCATGCAGTTTCAGACCTCTTTCCCGTTAGACAACAATACTGACGTTTCTTGAACTTGCACAACTTACTCCGAAAAGGTTTCTGGTGTTCTTGTTTTTCGTTTCACCGGCTGAGTCCTATCGCTTTTCTCAGATCCTTGAGGCCCACGCCGTTGATACATACACCGAGTTCATTGATGCCAACAAGGACGTGCTTGATTCACTGGCGGTGCCCGACGTTGCCTACGAATATTTCCGGGAATTTCGATACTACTTTGACGAATTCCAGCTATCCGAGGACAGTTTAAGCAGTTCGAAACGTCAACCAGAGATATCTTCGCTACTAAGTGTCTTTGAAAACATATTGATGGACGAGGTATGTAGTGCAGCGTTCGTCACGGTTTGGAACTTGAAAGCAGTCTACTGACTTGCCCGCGTTTTCTATATTCTCGTAGAGAGAACACACACGGACAATGAGCGCATGTATCGACTTCGTCGAAAAGGGGGAGCAGTTTAGTTACAACGGCAAAGTGGTATCAGCAAGCTCGCGACGCCCTAACGTCATTCCTTCTGAAAAGCGAGAAAATTTTTGGCGCCAGTGGTCAAACGTGGATGAAACTGACGTGGATGTGTGATTGTCATTGATGGGCAACGACGGGGTTTGTCTACTAAGAGAAGGAGAGAACCATGAGGATTGAGCACTTCGAACGTGGGGTTGTGGCCATATCTCTTGAATTGTGCTTTCCATAACTTTGACTGCCGGTGATAACAACTGCCGTGATGCTTGCGGAAGAATGTAATTGAAGGTGCGGGTGCGCCCAAATAGGGGACGGGGCGGACGAGGGTGAAGAGTCTCGGTGAGATTGAGATTGTTTAAAGTTTCATCAGCAGCTATCCTGTTGAGGGAACTATATGTTGTACAGCAGATAGTGGACAGTGTGTACGTTATGAGTGTATCTCTCACGTGGCATTTGGAAATAAGACCCATGGATTACGAAGGGTAGGATAAATTTGTTGTGAATTAGATTTCCGTACGGGGCCGCCACACATATATGAAACATTGGTGCAATACTCTACATCTACACTGTCTGGACAGCAGTGAAGCAGACAAAACCTTCAGTTCGTCGATCTCCCCCAAGTTCCTCCGGAGCACTCTGCGGTACTTCCTTCAAGCCTCATTCTCACCGGGATCTGTCAACATGGCCTTCATCTTTGCAGCACCGGCAACGTTGAGCAGCAAGCATTCTGCTGTATTTCCTCATCACTTTCGCTCATCCCTTTTTGCTCCAGCCAGCCCTCGTACCGCACCCTCATTCACATGCACCCTCCTTGACGACACCACATCCCGCGACACTAACGCCCCGGAAATCACCGATGAAACCCCATCCGACCCTGAACACTCTGTCCAACAGGTCTCCAGACTCCGCTCAGAGCATCTCAATGCCTTTTTCGACGCTGACGAGAGCATGTATCAAGTCCGTCTTGCAAACGTCTTCAGTCTGGCCCTACAAAACTTTGTAGTCGAGCTCAGTGAACTGCAAACGGGCTTCAGACGTCTCGTCGGTCTCGATTCTCCACTGCGATACACTCCGCCAGATTGTCTCAACTTCATCCTCGACGATGCGACGGTCGCCAACCGCGAGAGGGAAAGGGAGAATCGGGATGGCAAAGTTGAAACAGGCTGGTTTGTGCGCAAAGTCTACGATGTCACATGCGCGGGCCTTGACTTACTTTTTGATGGGCGTCCAATTCCCAGGTTCTGGATGTTGGAGACTGTTGCACGAATGCCATACTTTGCGTATTCAAGCTGTCTGCATTTGCTCAGCACTCTCGGATGGTATCGATCGCCGACGCTTATGAATATGCATCACGCGGAAGAACTCAATGAAGCATACCATCTCGCAGTTATGGAAAGCCTTGGCGGCGACAAGCAGTGGCGGGTATGTTGTGTCGCGGATTGATAGCGCTAGTAATAACACAGTGAGTCGTTACTTCCACGTTGCTGACTTCTGCGTGTTTTATGTGTGCTTGCGCCTGGGAAGGATCGCTTTCTAGCTTTTCACGCAAGCCTAGTGTACTACTGGTACGTGAAACATGAGTCCCTCTGGACACGTCGAGTTTGGCTGCCCGGCGTTGGAAACCCATACTGACAGGGTAGGGAGGATTGATGTCGACGCGTGAAGGTTTCTTGTGATCTTGTTTCTTTTTTCCCCGGCTGAATCATACCGCTTCTCGCAGATTTTGGAGGCTCACGCCGCCGATAGCTATTGCGAATTCATCGATGCGAACCGCGACTTGCTGAGATCGCTACCCGCTCCCGAAGTATCTCACGAGTATTACTCCGAGTTCATGTACTACTTTTACGAGTTTCAGCTTTCTGATGAAAAGCAACCCCCTCCGGAACGGCGACCGGAGATATTTTCATTGCTGGACGTTTTTGAGAATATTTTACTTGATGAGGTAAGTGTGTCCCTCTGAAACATAGCAGCACTCCCCGCTGTCCTGGGATTACTCACATTGGTGCTTGGGCCATAATACTGACATTTTGATTTTGCAGCGAGAACACACACGGACGATGAGCGCTTGCACCGATTTTATTGAAAACGGCAACAAATTCCACTACAATGGGAAAGCCGTGTCAGGCAGTTCGCGACGTCCGAATGTCATTCCCTCCCAAAAACGAGAACAGTTTTGGCGCAAATGGGCAGGAGTCCATAATAAACGGGACAGGGGATGACAAAGCACTAAGGACAAACAAGAATTGGGACGATGGCCCATTTCCCTGTCTCGTTGGCTTTTTTATGCCTTGATTGAAAGATCTCAACGTTGAAATCCTCTCGCCAGATTACGCCAGCAACAATGAAGGAGTCTGCCTACTATACGTAGTTGATTGCTTCTCCAGTAGACGGCGGGTATTGGGTAATCTGTTGGGTTGCTTTGTTAGTTTTACGTAGTGCTTTGTATCCTAGTACAGTCGAATTACCTTCGTCATTGAAATCGCAAAGTTACGGTCACTTCATTCGGTAATCATTTTCAAGAACAAACCGGAGCATATAACAAGGGGAATTGTTGGGCATCAGATGGCCAGCCAACCCGACCATATGCTTCTGCGCGGTTCCTTCACTGTGACCAGAACAAGTGGCCCATACATCAAGGGTGAGCTGGTTACGACAGAATCCAAATCACGAAGTGCGAGACCTGGCAACCGCGCAATTTCATCAAACAGCCATTTGAGCTATGATTGTACTTGGTGATTGACCCTGGAGCGGCCGGGGTTGGACCCTGAACCAGACTGGTACTCTGGATGTAGGGACCCAGTGTGCTGTCGAAGGTTTCCCAGCTCCCCAAATCGGGATGAACATACTGGACAAACAAATGGCCTGCGCTTTTCGTGAACGGTTTCCTTGTGCCTTCGTAGCTTGTTCCTCTCCGAAAACATGCTGGGGCATGACGGGCACTGGTACGGCCGCACGCGGTCGTGGACAATCCGCACATGCCTGTTTGCGTCACTCTTCGTCTTGAATCTGGACTCGCATTTAGAGCATCTGAACGATCGCTCGTGCACTGTCCGTACATGATTATCGCGATCCCTCTTCCGAGCGAAGTCTTGACCGCATCCAGAACAAGGGTATGTTCGCGAAGACTCCAGCGGCGAAGGCGTACCTGGTCCAAGCTGTCTTCGCTTACGCGGAGATCCCTCATCACCAGATGCTGGTAATTGCCGCTTCTGGCTGCCATTGCGTTGATCTGACGTCGCTTGAATACCCGTGAGTTGCGAGATTTGTGCAATGCTGTTCTGGCGCGGATGGCGCGCGTTTGGCACGCCCATGTCTAGCAGATGAGACTGGGTGATGATCGGACCAGAAACCGTGCCAGTCGCTACTCCATTTGGTTGTTGTGATAATCCGTTGTTAACAGCTCTGGAGTTGGGGCCACTGCCATGCCACTGCAGCAACTCCTGTTGTGTTGTCGGCACAGCAGCTTTGCGACTCGAAAGATCTCCAACTTGCTGTCCATCACCTGCTGCAACCCCAGGTAGTTGATTTTGCGCGGAGTTTTGATATACCTGCTGGTTCAATTGATCATCTGCTGCAGCTGAAGCCTGAGGGATTTGCGAAGGTTGAGTGTGAACCACGACTGAACCTTGTGGGGGAGCAAGTCCCGTACCCTGATTCAAAATGAGATGTGGAGTATTCTGTTGCTGTTCCACAGGTTGATACAGACCTGTCTGCACGTGATGTTGTGAGACAGCCTGGTCCTGAAAGTCCTGTGGAGTGGAATGGCCGCCTGGGCGATGCAGTAGTTGCGCTTGGCCCTGATCCGCGTAACTTTGAATATCTTGAGCTGTCACTCCATTCCGTTCATGGACATGAACCCCGGACCGGGCAACCCCTTGAGGTAATTGCGAATTCTGCCCTTGGCGTTCCAGGTCGCGTGCGACATTGACAGCTTGATTGGTTGCCGGTTGAGATACGCCCACAGAGCTGAGAGGAATGCCAGCAGGGTTCAAATTCAGCGGATCGAAAAGGCCTGTGCTCGTGTACGAAGGTGGGTATTGTATATTCGCTGATTGCATTGCGCTAGCCGGGAGCCCAAGTCCGGCCGGGTACAACTGCCCATTGTGAATGTTTGCGCCCCTCATGACTGAGATATGGTTCACGTTGCTCGCTGCCGTTGAGCGGCGAGCCATGTGCATCTGCTGGGACATAGCTTGCTGGCCCTGATGCGCTTGTTGCGCAGGTATCTGCTGCTGGTGAACGGCAGCAACACGGCCGTGTTGAATTCCAACTTTTTGGCCTTTCTGCTGGGTGTGGTGGGCAGCCTGAACCGGCTGCTGATACCGTTGGGCGAGATCGGTCTTAGATGTTGCTAAGGGATATGGCGAGTTCGAAGAAGGCATTTGCGTCAACTGCGCCTGGGGGTTTTGCATTCGAGCTCCGTGATACTGCTGCTGCAATTGCTGATGCTGAGCATCCTGATTCATCTGATGTACATCCATGTATTGTTGAGCATGCTGCGGCACCGTGGGTTTCTGATGCTGCTGCACTGCTTGATGTGACTGGATCTGGCGTGCAGAAACCATGTGCTGTGATGTGACGAGCTCGGGACGTGATGGACGTGATGGCCGCGACACATGAGGTTGTGGGGGCACGTGCTGTTGACGTATTTGCTGCGGGGGGATTTGTTGGGGATGGGCGTACATGTTGTGATGGGGTGGGCGGGAGGCCATGTAGGCCCGAGGATGTTGTTGTGGCTGTTGCTGTTGGCGCTGCTGTTGCTGCGAAATGGGTTGAGCAAGCTGGCCGTGAGTGACGGCAACTTGAGAGAGGTGCGGATTTCGCTGCGGCTGTGCATGGGCAGGGAGGACCTGCTGGTGTGGCGAGGAAACAGGAGGTGTCTGCTGATGGAGTTGTTGTATCGGACGAGCAGGGGGCTGCGGCATCGAGGGTGGGGCATCGTGAGCAGGCTGCCGAGAGCGGGAGGGCGGTGGTGGGGAGACCTGTGGGATCGAAGGCGAGGGTGGGACAGGTTGAGTGGGTAAAGTTGGGTGAGAAGACATTGCGTCTCGTTGAGACTGGCGAGTGAGAACGGGATACTTTCTCTGAAGGGGTGTGGAAGCTTGCCAAGCAGGGTCTAAGTAAGAGGCAGGATCAAGACTTGAGGTATTGATCCTAGTGGGTTTGGCCGAGCGTGGTCTGTTGATGGTGGTGGAGGGGCGGGAAGGGTCTTCTGAATTCTTTGAAGTAGGGATGTGCGGCACGGTGAATCCGCGCGTGACAGAAGGGGGCATTTCTTAATAGTCGTGGCGATGCCCCGTTCTGAGCAGGAGGGGGGGCGAGGGGGCGAATGACCCGCAAGCGAAGGAAAACGTGGATCAAGAGGGGTGATGGGGAGGGGGCGGTGTCGGTTATGGTGGGAGGGAGGGAGGCGAGAGAACAACGGGGGGGGGGGGGGGGGGGGGGGGGCCCTATTCTAAATAACCCTAAAAGGGGGTTGGGG